ACATCTTGGTAGTTCATTTCAAATCCATTGTGTTGGTGTATAGCACTAAAATGTTAGATTGTGTCAGATATTTCTAGACCTAACTGTAAATGCACCCAGAGGTCCGACTGTCAACACAGAGATTCACCATCTGACAAAAAACACCTCATCACCAAACTTTTTTAAATAAAGTTGAGGTCAGAATTATCAGCCTTCCTTCACAGTATTTTCTTTATTATTTTAAACTTTTTTTAATTTGTTTTATTTCAGCTAGAATAAAAGCCGTTTTATCTGTTTACAAAACCATTTTAAGGTCAAAATTATTAGCCCCTTATGCGATATTTTTCCATTGTCTCCAGAACAGACCAGCATTATAAAATAAGTTGTCTAAATACCCTAAATTGTCTAATTAACCTTGATAAGCCTTAACTGTGACTTTGAGCTGAATGCTAGTTTAATGAAAAATACCTAGCCAAACATGATGTGCTGTCATCATGGCAAAGATAAATACATCAGTTATTAAAAAATGAGTTATTAAAACTATTATGATTAGAAATGTGTTGAAAAAATCTTCTCCTCGTTAAACAGAAATTAGGGAAAGATATACAGGGGGGTAGTAATTCTGACTTCAACTCATTACCAATGTTTTTCCATGATATTTAATTATATCTTTGTAAGGGAAGGCCGTAAGTCTTGAGCAGAGGAACTCCTTTAATTACTATACATTTGCACATCAAAAGTGAAGCAGACTTGCAACTCCAGGAGAAATGAATCTCTGTAGAGCGAGAGAACTCTTGTTTACCGTGCGCAGCTTGCAGCTTAAGAAATCTAAAGTAGACATTAAGAAATCTTCATTTTATAATTTTATAAATCTTTTATTTATAAAAGCAACAACTTCTCCTATGAAAACAACCACAGACGACTTCTCAGATCAGGATCCACATTAGATCCCGTAGTGAACGTCTATAAAGTAAATACCAAAACACAATTTTTAAAGATTCAGCAGCTCCAAATGATCTCTTTGGGCTCTATAGGCACATAGTCTATAAGCATTAAAGGGTCACGAAACACCAAAACACATTTTTTGAGCTGTTGACAGTCGTATATGTGTCCTACACTGCTATAAACACTATTAGGACACCTATATTTCACTAAGTGTAAATTGGTTGTTTTTGCGTTATTTCAAGCAAATTCGTAAAGGTAATTTCGTTGAAACGAATTTTTGAAGCTGCGTCACGGCTATGACATAATAGCGTGTATTCCAGCGTGCAGACTGGACGTCTGTGCCAGAGTGTGTCTTATTACGTCTTACAGTGTGATGCATTAATGCATGAGTAAAGCTTGGTTCAAACCAATCAGCGCGCTCTATTGTGCAACTTCATTAATATTCATTACTGTCAACAGTGTTTAGACAGCAGAGACGCCACGTTGTATTGGCAAAACAAGCGTGAAGTGTTGCTTTTATAGTTTGCTGCAGTTAAGTTTCGTTTTCATTTTCTCTCTGTGAGAGCTCAGACTCACGCAATGGATTAACAGTATACGCAACGCTCGACAACAATAACTTGCGTGTCTAAGGAGGAACATTGTTTACCTGAGAGCTGTTCTCATCTGCAAACGCTGAGATCCGGATTCGCTTGTAGTCTCCTCTTAATACAGACGCGGCTCTAGTTGCTGGTGATTGTCCTGTCTCTACAGATTTGGTAAGTGAGCGACCAGTGCTCTTTGTTTATTCAGTTTGTTCGTATCGAACTAAGTTAACTATTACATCGAGTGTAAACATGTTTAAACACCACAACCAAACTTTAAGCTCGTGTTGGATTTTTACCGCATTTTGTGACCGGAATAACACACGCGGCTTTCTGACGCTACCTGCCGAGTGCATCTAAGTTTTTACGGGAAATGCGGAGGGTTTTTTTCTCTCTTTCGCCGTGTGGTATCAAACATTGCATGAAAAATACACGCTTAGAGCAGTTCCTCGAATCAAATTTTTCGTTTGTTGCGAGGGACATGAATGAATTCGCTAAATGAAAGAGCCAAACTGCAGTTAAAGTCCACCATTTAATAATTTGGCAAATAATTCGACTACAGATGTCCATGTAAACACCATCACTTTCTCCCGTGTTTGTGTGTGTGTTTTGACTCTGAAACTCGCGCGAGCCCAAATAGACACTCCCACACCATCCCATTTTAGTTCCTCCGACACTCCCCCCTAAACAGAGCTGGACGCGCCCACTTTTCTGACTTTTTCCAAAGTAGAGATGTGAAAACACCCTGCTGAAACGAGGGGGTTTCATGGCCCTTTAAGGGTGTGTCCAAACCCACTTTTGCTATTTTAAGGATGGAAAGATACACTCTTTGCCCCAGTGCATGGTCTAACAGGGTTGTGCTTATTCTCTTAATGAGTTATAAGTTTGTTTGGAGCATAACGTGCATCAAAGGGGTGGTCCACTATGCTATCATATGTTAAACTTTAGTTGATGTGTGATGTAGCTGTGCGAACATAAACAGCATCTCTGAATGTAAACTGTAAAAAGTTCAATGCAAAGGGAGACCTTGGTATTTACAGAGTTAGCTTAGCAAAGCCTACAATGAACGAATTTTAGGGACTGCAAAAAAAAAAAATACTTCCGGGCCAGTGAGATCACAAACGTACTTTTACCGGGCATGGCCAGAGGCGCTGTATTGCTACAGCAGAGAGAGCTGAAATACTATTTAAACGCTGCTATTTCCACAGAGCTTCTTCTGTTTCTGTATTTGGGCTTCCAAATGACAAGACACAAGGACAGAAATGCTTACAGTTCAATATTAATTATGTTCCAGAGAATTATAAAATAAATAGCAAGCATGATTTGACAAAGCACAGCTTCCAAAATCTCTCCCAGTTCAGTGCTAAATCTCCTTAAAGTAGGAGCAGCTCCAACAAGCAGAAGCTGCAGCCTGTGAGTTTTTATTTGTTAAAATTGATCATGACATGTACAGTGTCTGGCGTTAACGGTAGGCTGTAGCAAAGATGTAAAAACGGGAAATGCTGTTTGGCGCCGCTAACGATTTAGCTACAAATTCATATTTATCAGTCAAACTGCTGTAAACACACACACACACACACACACACACACACACACTTCACTCTTTATCTAATTTTTTAAACACCATTTTAAGGATAAAATTATAAGATCCTTTAAGCTATTTGTTTTCGATAGTCTACAGAACAAATCATCGTTATACAGTAACTTGCCTAATTACCCTAACCTGCCTAGTTAACCTAATATACCTAGTTAAGCCTTTAAATGTCACTTTAAGCTGTAAAGAAGTGTCTTGAAGAATATCTAGTCAAATATTATTTAGTGTCATCATGGCAAAGATAAAATAAATCAGTTATTGGAAATGAGTTATTACAACTATTAGAAATGTGTTGAGAAAATCTGCTCTCCGTTAAAAAGAAATTAGGGAACCAAATAAACAGGGAGGCTAATAACTCAGGCGGCTAATAATTCTGACTTCAACTGTATTAGCATTGAATTATTACAATGGTTCTGCTGTGTGAAATTCATCTACAAAAACATACCGAAATCAGTCAAAAACAAAACAGAAAGATCTCAATGACAGACACAGATGGATGGAAACTATAAGGGAACTCCTACTTCTTGTGCAGAAGAACACACAAGCCTGATTTCGGAGAGATCCGACATCCTTTAGCCCAACCAGCATGTGCGGACTCCAGATCAGTGTGTGTTTTTTGTAACGCTTCTGTCGTTGTGTGTTTGGCCTTGAGCATAAATATAAGCTCTTGTGTTGGTGACAGTAATAAGCAAGCAGTGTGAAGGCCAAAGATCCATGAAGAGGCTAATTACAAAGTGACAACAAGCACTGGCAGACGAGCACTGACAATGCAGCTGCTGCTCAACATACACACGCGCACACACACACACACACACACACAACACACACAACAGGCAGGACGAGAAATTACCTTTTGACTACAACTTATTTAGATATAAGGTTAGTATGTTTCAGTCAATGTGCTATAAATGGAAAATAAATAGAATTTGTTAACTCTTCTATGTAATTTTTTACTCAAATAATTAAGGAACTAGCGACAGACAAATATAATCATGTAAAATACAGTCGAAGGCAAAATGATAAGCCCAAATGTGAAAACCTGGTGCTATTTCAAACATCAGTCTTACACAACAGCCCTTCGCTTAACTTCAGGCCTCAAATTAACCTGTTGGGCTTTATTTGGTGAAAACAACTGTCTGGATCTTCTTTATCTCTTACTTAATCCGCTTTGAGATTCTACTTTTGAAGGTGATATGTAAAATAATGTTTAGTATTATTGTTATTATACAAGCCTATAGCATTTTCCATATGACTAAATAGCATATACGCTCATATTCAGATGAAGTTTTATACTACATTGTTTAATCCTCTAACTCTTCCGGAAACTCTTAGCACATTTTAGCATGTGCATTAATCTATTGTAATTTGAGTTCATTGGTGAAGATCACACAATTACAAGTAAAACCTTAATAAATCCCTGCTGAAAAATCCAGCTTAAACCAGCCTAGGCTGGTTGGCTGGTTTTAGCTGGTCTACCAGGCTGGTTTTAGAGGGGTTTTGGCCACTTCCAGGCTGGTTTCCAGCCATTTCCAGCCTGGTCTAAGCTGGTCAGGCTGGAAAATGACCAGCCAAATACAGCTAAAACCAGCTTGACCAGCCAGTCTGGTTTAAGCTGGATATAGCTGGTTTTGGCTGGACTCCCAGCTTGGCTAGGCTGGTCAAGCTGGTTTTAGCTGGTCATCTCCCAGCCTGACCAGCTAAGACCAGGCTGGAAATGGCTGGAAACCAGTCTGGTCGACCAGCTAAAACCAGCCAACCAGCCTAGGCTGGTTTAAGCTGGATTTTTCCGCAGGGACACAACAGAAACTGTACACAAATGTGTGCTACGCTACAAAAAAGGGCAAATCAACACTGCAATGTGCCACCAGCTTTCATAAAGTAGATAAATACAGACTTTTTACCTTGCTGTGATGAACTTGGCGATGGTTGTGGTAAGAATCTTGAAGACCATCATTTACAGACAAGGTTTCTGTCACACAGGACACATCTGAGGAGAAAGAAAGCATTATTCCATATTAGCATAAACAAGTTAAACACTTTCTGGTGACACTTGAGTCTCTTTTACACTGACTGTGATGTGAGTAAGAGAGAAATAACCAACAAAGAGTGGTTTACACTGAATGATTGATCATCTACGGCAGGGGTTCTCAACCTTTTCATTTTGTGGCCCCACTTCTTTCCAATCAATTTTTGAAGGCCCACCTGTCTGACATTTTCTCTAAACTGTTTGGATGAATGGTTGCTGTGCCTTATATTAATTTCTATTATCAGCATTATATATTTAATTATACATAAAACTAAAACTATATATAAGTACAGTTAATTGTTTTCAGCATCTTGATGCTTTCCATTTTAAATGGTTATGCAAGCGGTTGCTTTATCATGGTTGCACCCTGTGTTGCTTATTTAAGTTTTCAAGAGTGGTTTCAGTGACAGGGACAGAGGCTCACCGCACCCGACTACACAGGAAAACCAGAGACTGTGTTCATTCTCTCAGCTGTGAGTGTGCAAAAGCACTCTACTTTGTTACCAACGCAGAACTACAGAGGTCATGTCTGCTGATATATCCAATGAAAGTCATATTCTTTTAACTCTTTTTTGGCTGAACGCTCTTGTGAACATGTTGGCAAAAAAACAATCTCTCCTCTAGCAACGCTTGCAATAATGTATTCTTGTATAGTCTTAAACCGTACACTGCTAATTTGTGAACTGAAATGATCTTCCTTTTAAATTGGTGTCATCTATTTATATTCATTTTTAACACCTACTAATCAACACCATGCCTTCATTCTGTGTAGTGAATGCTACTATTTACCTAAAAAACAATCTACAAATGCCAAGCTATGCTAACAGTGAGTTAGCTGAAGCATGATTTCTATTAAACACCATTGGTTAACAAACAAAAAGAGAGAATAATTACTTGGTTTAATGTAGGGGAAGCGACATTTTAAGAGATTATTCCTGAAAAAACTAAATCTCTCTCATCTTAGCTTCTGAACTGGTTATGGCTGAGATGTTATTGTAGATCTAATATCTAAGAGCTGTCTGTCAAAAAATGTCATAGGACACCCATCTAACTCTCAAGAGTTCATTATACATGACTCAATCAATCAAGATATGAGATCCTGGACCACAATAGCAGTATTATGTTTCACCAATAGCCAACAAGGGACCCTTTTCACAACACTGTATGATGTGTTTAACCAGCCTGATCTCACGAGAAAACGTAAGTATTTTACGTTTTGGCAGTTTAGTGGCTAATTCGTACGAATTCGTACGAGTTCAGTCGTAAGAAAATGTACGATTTTAAAAAGGAGGCGTGGCACCTGACCCCACCCCTAAACCCAACCGTCATTGGGGGATACGCAAATCGTACTAAAATGTACGAATTAGATCGTACGAATTTGTACGAATTAGCCACTAAATGAAAAAGTTACGAATTGCCGTGAGATTGTGTTGGTTTAACAGTCATCAGCATCTTAAATTCTTTAAAGTTTTTAATATTTAGATTTTTTTTAAACATATGAACATTTATATGCATTTATGACTGTATAAAAAAATCTTTGCGTCAAATAACAAAAAAACAAATTACCGCTCGTGTGAGGCATTTCTAATGCAGCATCTATGGTACAGGACAGTAAATTTGACGTTATTCCCTCGTCATGCTGAAGTAGTTGGTGGTTCATTCCACTGTGGCAACCTATGATGAATAAAGTGACTAAGCCGAAGGAAAATGAATGAATAAAATCTATGAAGTTTACAACTTTATTAAAACAATAAGCTGTTGGCGCCAATAGTGGTTAAGTGCGCCGACATATAACACCAAGGTGCTCACGGCGACCCAAGTTTGATTCCCGGCTCGAGGTCCTTTACCGATCCTTTCCCTCTGTCTGCTCTTAATGCTTTCCTGTCAATTCTCTACATTGTTCTATCGATTAAAGGCTAAAAAACCCTAAAAATAATTATATTAAACATTAAACTTACAATTGAAATTTCAGTTACACATTTACTCTTGCAATTTCCGGCCATAGAGCTGTTTTTTTGTTAATTCAATTCAATTCAATTCAGCTTTATTTGTATAGCGCTTTTACAATGTAGATTGTGTCAAAGCAGCTTCACATAAATGGTCATAGTAACTGGAACAGTGTGGTTCAGTAACTGGAACAGTGTGGTTCAGGTTTTAGTGTTCAAGTTCAGTTCAGTTCAGCTCAGTTCAGTGTGATTTAATCATTACTGAGAGTTCAAACACTGAAGAGCCAATTCATCGATGCGTAGCTCTACCAATCCTGAACCATGCGAGGCAGTGGCGACAGCGGAGAGGGGAAAAAAACTTCACCTGATGGGAGTGAAGAAAAAAAACCTTGAGAGAACCAGACTCAGTTGGGCACGACCATTTTAATTTCTCCGCTGGCCAAAAGTCTTGTGCAGAACTTTCAACTACAACTTTTTTAATGTTTTGTAGCCGCTGTAACTTTTATCTGAACGTTCCTCTCAGACACCAAAAACAACAACCACATAACTAATTTCGGGAACACATATCTTTGTCATATCACTGGGTTTCAAAATAGCTGTCTATGCTACTGCATCACCACTAAATTACAAATAAATGACAAATAAATTCTGCCATCAGATGGAGACAGACACTCGTCTTTTTGTTTCGAAACACTGTTAAAGGAAAACTCCACTTTTTTTTTTTTTTGGAAAAGGTTCAATTTTACAAGTCCCCTACAGTTAAACAGATGAGTTGAACCATTTTTAAATCCATTCAGTCGATCTCTGAGTCTGGAGGACAATTTTAGCTTAGCTTAGCATAAATCATTGAATCGGATTAGACCATTAGCATCTAACTTTAAAATCACCAAAGACTAGGGATGTAACAATATTGTAAATACCGTCATACCGCAATAGTTATATTTTTCAATATTACCGTAGGCGCATGACTCAAAACTATATTTCTGAGAAAAGTTTGCTTAGGCGAATGAAGCAAACGGGAGGTAGCAGGAACTACAATTCCCATCAGCCCAGGCGTGGCCATCATCCTTTGCGGCCTGTAAGATCCAGTAATGCAGAAATGAAGTGTGCTGCTAGTAGCGGGGAAGAAAAAGCTGAAAATGATCGAACCTAAAGCAGGTTTTAAATCGGATGTGTGGAAGCATTTCGGTTTCTCTCTAAAAAGATACGAAAAAGGAAAAAAGGTGACAGACAAAGAAAAAAACAATATGCAGGCACTGCCAGACTGTGGTGATATAAGTCGGGGAATACGACTAAAAACAGTCGTGGGGACTGCAGAACACAGCACACTTGTTAGATTGATGCAGACATTGACTTGTACCGCAAAGAGATCTCTATCTCACTCATGGCTTGTCCTCTCAAGTGGTGGAAAGACAATGCACAACGTTACACACTGCTGTCAGCCTTGGCTAAATCATATCTCTCTGTCCCAGAAACCTCAGTCCCAAATGAGAGGGTTTTTTCTGTTGCAGGGGACATGCCCAGAGATCCCAGCTTTTACCAGATTATAGTTATATGATCATTTTCCTTAAAAACCCATCTCTATCCAAGTGAGTGAGTGATTAAATGTTGAAAGTGAGTGAGTTTTCAACAATACTAAATTGAAACTTAATTTTTTCTACATGGTTTAATAGTTTTTTGTTATTAAAATTGAAAAATTGAAGTTCCTGTTTCGAAACTTACAGATAGATGGCTAATTTGTATGTCATTGATATGTTCAGTGCTCAGGTAAATAAACACTTTTGGCACTTTTTTCGAGTCTTTTCATTAGTTTTGTTTTTCCTGTAAATTATTCAATAAATACCGCACCGTGCCATTCATACCGAGGTATTACCGTACTGTGAAATTCTGATACTATTACATCCCTACTAAAGACTTTTGATAATATTCCTATTTAAGGCTCGACTCTTCTGTAGTTACATCATGTAAGACCAATGGAAAATGAGAAGTTAGTCTTTTCTAAGCTTATATGGCTAGGAACTATACGCTTATTTCGGAGTAATAGTCAAGAAATTTTGCTGCTGTACCATCAGTCTCACACTATTTTATTTCCCTCTTCTGAAAGTCTTGATAACACCATCATGGATTTTTTTTTTTTATTATATCAGCAAATAAGATTGTAAAACTGCGCTTTATAAGTTTACCCAGCCTCCTCTACAGAGAACACAAGATATGTGAAAAGGGTGCATACATAGTATGGGTCAGAAAAAAACATTTTCTTTTATACCAGAAATCAACTGAATACTTAGTACAGATCATGTTCCATTAAGACTTAGGGTGCTTTCACACCTGTGAATCGATTCAGTTGTTCCGAAACAGAGATTACAAATGTTACATTGTTGCTCTTTGCTCTTGGAGCGGTTCGCTTTCACACTGCAAATTTCCAATCGGACCAAAAGAGATAAAACAAGTCACGTGTGAGTAAACTCTCCTCACATTGGTCAGAGTGTCAGGGTTTATTTTGCAGCGTCCCGCTCAGCTGTCAGGAGAGGTGGTGGTTTGGTGGTGATTGACAAGGTGCGCGACGTGTCTGAGGAGAGACGCGGTGGGGAGGGGTGAGAAGGGTGCGTGACGATGCCTATTTGAGGACCTGGAGGGAGACGCGAGATTACCGGGAGATCATCACTCATTTGCGGGCATCCGGAGACTCGCGAAACTTCCCGCCATACTCATAATTCTCTCTTCATATAGTCGTATGCCTATTACATATCCATAATGCACTGTGATATAACCGCGCTCGGATCGGATCGCTTTCTCACTGCAATCGAACTGCTCCAGGGTTCGTTTCAATCGAGCCGAGACCACCTCATTCAATCGATCTCGGAGCGATTACTTTGGCGCGGAACAGAGCGCGATTGCCCTGTTCACATATGCCAAACGAACCGCGCTAACTGGGCAAACGAGACACGTTCCCAAACAAAAGTGTAGGTGTGAAAGCACCCTTAGACTAGTAAATTTCCTGCTGTAAATATTTCA